AAGTATAAGTGCAAGTTCTATGCATTTTTCAATGCGATTTGTATTTATGGAAGATTCCTCTTTAGTTTCCAGTTGCATGATGAATATTATCTTACCGGCCATGCAAGCAAATATTTCATGCTCACATAATCAAGAAGCATTTTCGTTAAGTTTTATACTTCACGTGAGGAACATGAATTTACTGTAAATCAAGTTTCGTTATACAGATTTATAATCCATAAATGTCAATGATCTCTGATTATTTTAATATTCGTAAATACAAAAAGCAATTGGTTTAATCATTTGAAGCCTTAATCCTAAATTAACCATGATTCTGATTTTTCCATGAAACTGGTTTAAATATATTGTTAAATCGAATTTAATTAGATGAGATTTTGCATTAATCAATGCATAATGTTAGAGAGTTAAGCAATATCAGTTCATTCACTAAATTTGAACGTTATAAATTTGTAACGCTGTAAACACGGTTTGACAACAAAAACATTTTGTCATTTCGTTGATGTTCTAACGGGAACTCTCTGCATGTTGAAAGTTGTTAGATTTAAGCAAATATCAGTTCATTAATTAATCTTTGAACGTTATCAATGTGTCATTTTGTCACTTGGTTCATATTTTTCAAAGAGGAGCTATTTAGTTTGAAAATTCACAAACCACATCACCTAACACATGTTTTCAAAATTGTAGAAACCGTTATTTATTACTACAACAAATAAAAACACATGACTTTTATAAAAGAAAATGCTAAAAAGTGTTTATTTTCTTTCTTTTTCATCAATGAACGTGAGATTCCACTTAACAGCATCAAGCACGGTGTTCAGATTACCTGAACTATCCTCTTTTTTTTTTTAATTTAAAACTCGTCCTCTTATGTTAAATCACGTGGCATATTATCCTACGTGTCAATGCTGACGTGTCGTAACTTTACCTTCAACCCCTTTTTAAACCCTTCACTCTCCAGCTTCGAACACAAACAGTACTTTAAAAAAAAAACACAATCAGTTCTCTCTCTCTCTCCCACTCAAAAAAACATTTCAAATTTTCTCTCTCTCTCTAAAAAGAAACCGAACAGTCTATCTTCCTGTAATAAAAAAAACCGATCAGCTCAAGATCGCTGAGAGACAACAGAAACAATGTCGGACACTGTCCTACGAAAGCTGATCGTGGAGATCTGCAACGCGAGGAACCTAATGCCGAAAGACGGCCAAGGAACAGCGAGCGCCTACGCGATCGTCGATTTCGACGGCCAACGACGTCGTACGAAGACCAAGTTCCGAGATCTGAATCCTCAGTGGGACGAGAAGCTCGAGTTCTTCGTCCACGACGTGGCGACGATGGGGGAAGAGATTCTCGAGATCAATCTCTGTAACGACAAGAAGACTGGTAAACGGAGCACGTTTCTTGGTAAAGTCAAGATCGCCGGAAACGCGTTCGCGGCGGCGGGTGCCGAGACTCTTGTTTATTACCCGCTTGAGAAGAGGAGCGTCTTTTCTCAGATTAAAGGTGAGATCGGTTTAAAGGCGTATTATGTTGATGAGAGTATTCCGGCGGCGGCGGTGACGGAGGAGAAGCCTCCGGCGGAAGGTCAAGCTGCTCCGGCTGCGGAGGAGAAGGCGGGGGAGAAGGAGAAAACAGAGGAGGGGAAGAAAGAAGCAGAGGCGGCGAAAACAGAGGAGAAACCGAAGGAAGAAGCTAAACCGGAGGCTAAACCGGAGGAAAAACCGAAGGAAGAAGCTAAACCGGAGGAGAAGAAACCAGACGCAGCAGCTCCACCGGCGAAAGATGCTAAGAAAAAGGCTCCGGAAGCCGCGGCGGCGGCGGCAACTCCGTCTCCTCCTGCGGCTCTGCCGCAGAAAACAGAGACGGTGAAGCAAAAAGAAGTAGAGATTAAACCGGAGAATCTAAACCGGCAAGACTTAATCGGAGCAGATCTTGAGCTTCCTTCTCTAACCAGAGACCAGAACCGTGGTGGCGGTTACGACCTTGTGGATCGTATGCCGTTTCTTTACATTCGTGTAGCCAAGGCGAAGAGAGCTAACAACGACGGGAGCAATCCGATTTATGCTAAGCTCGTGATCGGTACAACCGGTGTGAAAACCAGATGCCAAACCGGTAAAGATTGGGACCAAGTGTTTGCCTTCGAGAAAGAGAGCTTAAACTCGAGTTCCCTCGAAGTTTCGGTTTGGTCGGAAGAGAAAGTTGAGAAGGAAGACAAAACGGTGACGACTACGGAGAGTTGTTTGGGAACGGTGTCGTTTGATCTTCAAGAGGTTCCTAAGCGTGTGCCTCCGGATAGTCCTTTGGCTCCTCAATGGTATACTTTGGAATCTGAGAAGTCTCCGGGGAATGACGTCATGCTCGCTGTTTGGCTCGGGACGCAAGCTGATGAAGCGTTTCAAGAGGCTTGGCAGTCGGATTCAGGCGGGTTGATACCGGAGACCCGGTCCAAGGTTTACTTATCTCCGAAGCTTTGGTATTTGAGGTTAACGGTTATACAAACCCAAGATTTGCAGCTAGGTTCGGGACCCGAAGCTAAAGCGAAGAGCCCCACCACTGAGCTTTATGTAAAAGCTCAGCTTGGACCTCAAGTCTTTAAAACGGCTAGGACTTCTATTGGACCATCCGCTTCTTCGTCAGGATCCGGTAACCCGACTTGGAACGAGGATCTAGTTTTCGTAGCTTCCGAGCCGTTCGAGCCGTTCTTGATAGTGACTGTGGAAGATATAACGAATGGTCAGTCCATTGGCCAGACCAAGATACACATGGGGAGTGTGGAGAGGAGAAATGATGACCGGACCGAACCGAAATCGAGGTGGTTTAATCTCGCCGGGGACGAGAAAAAACCGTACTCAGGGAGAATCCATGTGAAGGTTTGTCTAGAAGGTGGGTATCATGTTTTGGATGAAGCAGCTCATGTGACGAGTGATGTTAGACCTTCGGCTAAACAGCTAGCCAAGCCACCTATTGGGTTACTAGAAGTGGGTGTCCGTGGAGCTACTAATTTACTTCCGGTGAAAACAAGAGACGGTACACGTGGCACTACTGATGCTTATGTTGTTGCGAAGTATGGTCCGAAATGGGTTCGGACTCGTACCATTCTAGACCGGTTTAATCCGCGGTGGAACGAGCAGTATACTTGGGATGTTTATGATCCGTGCACAGTCCTAACCATTGGAGTTTTCGACAACGGACGATACAAACGTGACGAGGCTGGGAAGCAAGGAAGAGACTTAAGGGTTGGGAAAATCCGGATACGTCTCTCTACTCTCGACATGAACCGGGTCTACCTAAACTCTTACACCTTAACCGTAATACTACCAAGTGGAGCCAAGAAGATGGGAGAGATAGAAATTGCGGTAAGGTTTTCTTGTCCTTCTTGGCTAAGTATTATTCAAGCTTATGTCACGCCAATGCTACCTAGGATGCATTATGTCCGTCCACTCGGCCCGGCTCAACAAGACATTCTGCGTCACACAGCTATGCGTATTGTGACGGCTCGTCTGGCCCGGTCTGAACCGCCTTTAGGTCAAGAAGTGGTTCAGTACATGCTTGACACGGACAATCATGTGTGGAGCATGAGGAGAAGCAAAGCGAATTGGTTCCGTGTCATCACGTTCTTGTCACGTGCCGCTACTATAGCCCGTTGGGTTCACGGGATTAGAACTTGGGTCCACACACCAACCACCGTGCTAGTTCACTTGCTTCTCGTGGCCATCGTCTTGTGTCCACATTTAGTTCTACCAACGGTTTTCATGTACGCGTTCTTGATCTTAGCCTTAAGGTTCCGTTGCCGTGGCAGATTCAAAGTCAACAGCGTTGACACTCGTCTCTCCTGCGTTGACTCTGTTGCACCTGACGAGCTAGACGAGGAGTTTGACGGTTTCCCGGCGACTAGACCACCTGAGGTTGTTCGTATAAGGTATGACCGGTTAAGAGCATTGGCTGGTCGGGCACAGACTTTACTAGGTGACGTGGCGGCTCAAGGAGAGCGTGTTGAGGCGCTTTTCAACTGGAAGGACCCACGAGCTACTTGTATATTCGTGGTGTTTTGTCTTTTTGCATCGTTCTTGTTCTACATTGTGCCATTCAAGATCTTCGTTTTGGGGTTTGGTTTTTACTACATTCGACACCCGAGGTTTAGAGACGACATGCCTTCAGTTCCGGCCAACTTTTTCCGACGACTTCCTTCAATGTCTGATCAGATCCTGTGATTCAGACAAAAGGGTGGTCCAGTACTAATCTTGTTTTGTTGTTGTTTTATCTATTTGGTGTCTTGTAGTCCTCTGAATATTTAATTATTTATTTTCAATATACCTTCATTGTTTTTTAACTAAAGTTTGTGGTGGTAGGTCCGTGACTGGACATTAAGATCTCATCACACCAATAGATGGAAATTTGACCGTTAGTGCTTTGTGGACCAAATATTTAATTAGAACATTAAAAGACATTCGTATAAAGCTCAAGAAAATCTGATCGAGTCGTGGTTTAGGTAAAGAAGTTAGTGTGTATGACCGTTGCTGCGTCACAGGAGCGTTGCTCTAGGAAAGGGAAAACTCAAACCATAGAATAAATAAGGATAAATATTGCCATTCAAAGTTGTCCTACCAAAAAGCTAATTTAGGGAGTTCATTTACTGGTCTCGCCGCCGGTTTAGGACCGTGAACCATATCATTACCAGACTATCTCAATGAGCATTAGTTCCTTACTTTATGTTTGGAGTTTGTTCAGTTTCTTGGATATCTATAAAGTTGCTCATTTCAAGTAAGTATATCATTTTGATTTTAAGATAAGTTTTGTTTGGTTTAGTTTGACCTCTTTCACTTGCCTTTACTCATATTGAACTCTTTTCTTCTTTGATCAAACTCATATTGAATTCTAGTTTCAAACTTTAATGTTCTGTAAGAAAGTCAAGATAAATTAAGTTACTAACAAACACAAAAAAATTAAATCTACTTATTCCCAAAAAGCAAGTATAAACGGTTTTAGCTGAAATATATGCTTTCACAAAGATCAAAGATTGGTCAAACGCGTATAACATGGAGTCTCACAACCTAGTCCATCGGAAATTCTAAAATATTATAATGGTTTGGAAGTCCAAAACCAAATTCATCCCCCAACATTTTATCTAAAATTTTCCTTATGATCACTATATAATAAACACCGAAAACAAAACAAGAAAGAATATGATCAAAGGTATCTCCATATATAATGTAGCACATAGCTCACACTTCCTATCTACATTGTCTCTTGACAAAGTTTCTTCTCAACATAAGCCTCATTAGTAAACTCTTCAACCTCCTAGCTCCCGGACCAAGACCAGGTTTTGACCCACGCTTCTGTTTGTTTCTCAGGATCTCTCGATCTATCTTATTGAGAACCGGGTCATTGCTCTTAAACTTCCTTGCAAACGGTCTGTTACTCATTACCATCTTTCTGTAATCCCTTATCCCTAGAGTCTTGGGATGCTGCTTTGGTGGATTGTCCCACGCGATGTAGTGAAGGTCATGGTTCACGGTCGTGTTCCTGAACTCATCCGAGTTGCATATGAGTGTCTGAAAATAGCCTTCAGGAGAAGAAACGAAGTTGGTGTAGTATAGAAGGAGGGTTCTTGGTAAGTTGTCATAACCTATTATGCAATACTCTGAAAATGGTCTTGATAGGAATGTCCAAGCTGACCCTGAAATATTTTACATGCTTATATTATATCATTTACAGTTCTTTACTAAATAAAAATACATTTCTCCAAAAAGTAAACTTCTACATTTTTATCCTTTTTTAGGTTCTATGTCTTACTCAGCTCAAATCAATCCTTAAACGCAAGAATCCTTTAATCTCTTTTTCTTTTTAGATTAAACTTTAAACATTTTAACAATAAAAAGTGAAAGAGGAAAGGAACCTGTGAAGAGCTTGAAAGAAGTAGGGAGGCTACGTTGTTTGATAACCCACCAAATCTCTGACTTGTTGAGGCTATAAAGCCCTGGATCTATTATTATTGGTTTCCCTCTTTTGTTCCTACACATTGCATTACAGTTACTAATATCAATCATACAATTTTTCATTACAAGTCCAATAAGACTGCTTTTCAGATATGTCAGCTTATATTTATAAGCATCTTCAATTGTTCACTATTTTTCTGTTTTTCTCATCAATAGTATAATATTATTTTCAATGATAAAAACGTAGAAAAGAAAAGACGTAAAACAACTAACATTTTCCATCCCAACCGGCTAGTGTGCTGAATGAAGTTGAGATCTCTAGGCAACTCAGAAAAAGCATAGATCAGATCTGCATTTAATTAAATTAACAAATTAATAAATTACACAGCAATTACATCACTCTCCCATATATAAAGACACACCATTATCAGCCTAATAATAACTTGAGTTGAAAATCAATGTCTAACCCAATCCTAACCATTACATTCTTATCAAGTTATCATAAGGTATACATCGATCCTAACCGGTTCATTTGTACATCACACAAATCTAGATCCAAATCTTAAACCGTTTAAAATCAAGAAATGATGAAAACATCTTGATTGTTAAATAGATTTGGTTAGTCAAAAAAATAAAATAAAAGGGTGCACTCACCGTACCGTCTTGTGTGACTAGAGGATAATCAGAAGCACTAAGATTAATGAACCAATCCCACCGACAACATCTCAAGAGCAAAGCCATTGCGTGAAGCGTCGTCGCAAGCATCGTTGGTCCTCTGTAAGTAACAAGATTCGGTTTACCTACGATCATTACATTACCCTCGGGCTGAAACAGAGGCTCTCCCGCCACGAACCTAGCCATCTCCAAATGCTCCTCTTCAGGCGCCTCGAGGTCTAGGTGGATCAAATAGTGGTTTCTACGGTGGTAGAGAGATCTGAGGAGGCGTTTGAGCTTAACAACGTCGCCTTTGGAGGCAGAGATTAGGTAGGCGAAAGAAGGGAGTGTAGAGTTGGAGTTTTGGTTGGATTCAAGAGATGTAGTGGGGATCTTTGAAGAAGTGAAGAGAGTTGTGGTTGTGGGGATGATGTAAAAGAATGAGAAGAGGAGAGACGTTAGAGAGAAGGAGATCATCAAAAGCTTCTTCATCGTCATTTTGTTTCTCTTTGTAAATTTTCTTGGAATCTCTGCTTTGGAGTCAAGAAGAAGAGAGAGAGTGTGTGGTCTGGTTTAATGACGAACTAGTTTGTTGAATTACAAAGATGGGCTTATATTTTTTGTTTCCTTCTGTTGTCGCCCGTAGATTTAATAACTGTCAGCAAAGATATAAAAGTTCCAAAAACAATAAGAGGGGAAATTAAAATGTTACAAAACACAATTAAAGAAAACAAATATCACATAGACGTATGAATCAAAATTCATACTCGAATTACTATCATCATTTATGGGGTAAACTACTTTTAATGGGCACCAATATATATTAGGTATGGTACCAATAGTATGAAAGATGATTGTCACCAAACTTGACATAAACATTAACCAACTTTTGTTGTTACAAAAAAAAAAACATTAACCAACTCCAACAGATGATATTTTTATCAAAATAACGAATAAAATAAGTTATGTAAAGTTATTAGTATTTGTGTATTGGTCTTAAAAAATATAAATGTCAATGAAAACACATACATTTTAGTTTGATTTTATCCAGACATTAGCAACAAAAATTATATAATTTTGTTGCAACATTCTATATCTAAAACAGGAAAAGAAAAGTGTAAAACATGTTGTCAGATTGGGTTCTTTGCTTTCAAATTAAGTCATCCATATACATATTTCTCCCACTATTATAATCTCTTTGATATATATCACTAGAATGTCTTTAATATGATCACTCAAATGAATCAACTGTGTAATAGATCTTTGGGTATAATTTTTAATTACACCCTTTGGATTTGAAACACTTACAAACATAAAAATCACCAAAACTTTTGTTTCATAAATGTATAGAAAGAAAAATCATTCAACCTTACCAAAAAGATAGATGTAAAATCGTTATAAATTAAGTAAATTATTTTCCACAAAAAGTGGGAACAAACCAACGAGCATCCTTGAAAGGTAGTGGCGACGAAGCAGTAAGATGATTAAACAATTGAACTTTATTCATGGTCTGAATATTGATGACGCAAATGCCATTATCATCCTCCCGAAACTGACCATTACTATAATATAAGCAATTTTTCAAAACTCCATCTTTGGCTGGAACCGTTATTCGTTGATCCAAAAGCCATGCTTCATCCCCTAGAGAGTACTCGATAATACTCCATTCTGATGATTTAACATCCATCTTGTAGATGTTAAATGAGTCTCCCCACACACTTGAAATACCCAAAACTTGTCCAGATAAAGACACAGCAAGATGTCTAAAACGAATTGTGTCATAACACTCATCAGGAGACGTGAATCTTGCATATTCCTTAGGGTAATCACCACAAGAGAAATCAAAAGCAGTGATGCTTCTGTCTTCAATAAGCACGTAAAGCTTGCTTTCTATAAACACCATATCGACGCAGCTTTGATTCGTTGATGATCGAAACACTCTCCAGCTATCTTGTCCTTTCTTGTGATATACAAGAGTGTGATGAAACGCCCACACAACTAAATAATCTTTGTTTCTTTCATCTACCCACAAAACGGCAGTGCGTATTCCATAACACGTTTTTGATGATGTTACGTTATCTTTGTAATGGAAAGTTGTAACCGTGAAGCTAGAGTCAAAATTTCTCTTGAATTTCAACTTTGTTCCGTCGTCATTCGATTGCATTGATTCTAGGGAAGGGAGATGAATCCTCTCTCGAGTGAACATATTCAAAAGATAAAAACGTGTTTTACGGTCTAACATGAGGAACCAGCTATTGTAACTTGCGAAACAAGAAGTCCTAAGGATATCAGAACCGAGATCTCTTACTGTGTATGATTTGTGGTCAATAGGATCGAACAACTTACATGAATCGTCGATGCTTTCAAGAGGTAAGTGAAGTACGTCTGCAGGAAAGAGGATTATCCATGGGTTTGATTGTCTCATGCGGCATGATTTTGAAGCGGAGTACCATACTGAAGAAACGCATCTGGCTCTATGAAAATCAACAAAGCTTAATCGTTCCAGAACCAATATAACCAGATCGAGGATAAGCATCGGGTTCTTGCGTATGGGTTTGTTGGAACCGCTCATCTCCACTGTGGTAGTCATCACGATCGTTTTTCTTAAACTATATATGTAGTTGAGTTTTAGGGTTTGTCCTTATTTACTTTTCTTGGGGTTATAGAAAAGAAAAAGGGAATAGTTTACATTAAAATTAATCCAGAGTATATCTGAATCAAACTAGAAAATAAATTAGGGAATAGAAGAAAAAGGTGAAACAATTTTTTTTTTAAGTAACAGAAAGGTCACTAAAATTAACACAAAGGTAATTTCTTAATCAAATTTTAAGAAAACTAGGTGTTTTGCCCGCACTTGCGGGCTTAATAATTTTACTAATAACTATAAATAAATATATAATTAAGTTATGTAAATTATAATAAATTATTATTTATAGACTCAAAATATTTAATAATAAACTAAACAAATTCTGTTTATTTATAAAATTTTTGATCATCATATAAATAATTTTCATTACACAACTTATATTTGAAAATACTCATAAACTTAAAATATTTAGTAATAAATTAATATCATTTTTAGACATAACAAAAAAGTATAAAAAAATATCTTTAATAATGTTTTGGATACACACAATATAAATTATCTATACATAAATTCTTTGCAAATTGATTTTTCATAATTAACTATATATTAACAAATAGAATATTTTTTCAACGTTAAGAAAGACTTTATAACACAATATAAAAAAGTTAGATAAAGATAATTATCAAATTCATGAGATTCATTTTTTTTAATTTAGAATTATTATATGTTAACAAATATAATTATTTTTTCAAGGTTAATAAAGACTTTATCACATAATATAAAAAAATAAAATGAGGATAATTATCAAATAAACGAAATTGGATTTTAATTTATAATTAATTATATATTAACTAATATAATTATTTTTCAAGTATATTAACTAATATGATTACTGTTCAAGGTTAATAAAAATTTTATAATCCAATATAAAATAGTTTTAGATAAAGATAAATCTAAAATCATTGAAATTCATTTTTTATTTATGTTTAATTATATTAAAAATTTCGATTATTCATTAAGAGTATAAACGATATTAACCGTTCTAACTTTCAACGTGAAAGCTTTGTTGCAAAAAATCATTCACAAATAATAGTAGAGATTACCTAAATCACAGAAAGTTACAAATTAATCAGCAAATTCACTTAAATTTATAATTGAAAAATATATTTTTAAGATAACAATCTAATACAAAAGAATTAACATATTTTCTAAAAATATAATATTATTAACACAAATTCTTTTTATTTTATTTTATAATAAATTATTAAAACATGAAAATAACCAAAATAACCTAAAATCATGGAGAAGTTGACAACTAAGCAAATTTTTACTTCTAATAATAATTGAGAAATATATTTTTAATATAACAATCTAATATAAAAGAATTAACATATTTTCTCAAAATATAATATTATTAACATAATTTCGTTTTTATTATATAATAAATTATTAAGACATGAAAATAAGCAAATTTACCTAAAATCATGGAGAAGTTGACAACTAAGCAAATTTACTTCTTAAATAATGTTATAGATAGATCAGAGAATAGAAGGGGTAAAATTGGAAAATTTCCCTTTCAAAATAACAGAAAGGTAACTAAAAAGTATAGACTATATCTTAAATCAAATTTGAATAAAATTAGAAAATAAATTAAGTGGTGGAGCGAGCGTAATTTGATTTGGTTTAGGAAGAAGAAAGTAAAAAGATATATGCGTCTGCATAATTTCTATTGATCAATTTGATATGGTGTTATTTAAAAAAAAAAGTAAACTTTAGTGGGCTTGTAGCCTTAATTAAAGGCCCATTAAACCCAACCCCAAAGTAATCATTCAAAACGCATCGTATAACTCTAACAAACTCTCCCTCCCTAACTCGCCTACGTCTTCTTCCTCCTCTGTTTTCCCTCTGCAACATTGCTCTCGAAATCCAAAGCTTCAAGATTTGCGTATGTAATGTTCGTCGTCTCTTTTCATTGATAATTCTGTTAAGTTTTCGTTTCACTTCTCGTCGGCAATTTTCCCGCCATTTTCATTTTACTATCCGTAGATTCTTCTCATTGTTGTGAATTGGTTTGGATAATACTAAGATTTGCGTATGTTCTTCGTCTCTTTTCTTGAATTTTCTGTTACGCGTAAACTTAGGGTAAAATTGGATTCGGTAAGCAGATCGCTACCGTTGTTTGTGGTTTTTCATCAATCTGATCGAGATTAGAGTTGTTGTTTTTGTTTCTGAATCTGATCGAGATTAGAGTTGTTGTTTTAGTTTCTGAATCTGATCGAGATTAGAGTTGTTGTTGTTGTTGATCGAGATTTAGAAAGTTACAAGTTGTTGTTGTTGTTGTTTCTGAATCTGTGCAAAGAACATCAGACTCTGGCGAAGCTAAAATGTCTCAACGTGCTGAAGAGGAGTCCCAATCTCAACAAAGACAGGTGGCTGAAAGCTCAAACAAGAGTTCAGAGAAAGTCGCTAGAGCAGAGGAGGATGATGATGGATTGCCTCTTGCATGTCCTTTTTGCGAATTACCATTCTTGAATCCTGTTGTAACAGCATGCGACCACTACTTCTGCAATCTCTGTGCTAGAAAGGTATGAAGGATTCCCTAAAAACACAAGTTTTGGTAACTTGCAACAGAAGTTAAGTGGAAACGCAGCTTCATTTGTTGTTGTTTTGGATTTGTTATGGCAGCACCACAAGAACGACGCAACTTGTTTCTTGTGTAAGAAGCCAACTCTAGGAGTTTTCAAACCATCCGTGGAGATCAAGAACAAGATAGCTAAAGTGCGTGAGAACCTGAAACCCCAAGGTTTGTACACATCCAGTCTCTCTGTATTTTGTCAGTGTTTGCTACATGACGAAACCGGTCTTTTTTTTCTTTCTGCGGTTGGACGTGATAAACCAAATAGGCTCGGTCATGTCTCTATCTTTTGTCAATGTGTTTGTTAAAGGACCGAACCGGTCTAAACTAACTCTTACCAGAAGGCTGGTCATGTCTCTCTACCCATATGGTTAAGGACGATATAACTCGCGTTACAGTCCAACTCCATTTTTTATGACACGTAACCTTTTTATGTTTCTCATTTTTTTTTCAGAAAATAAAGCTGCCATGTTCGATTTCGAGGAATACACTTCTCAATACATACGAAACTACTACCAAGGCGGTCCTCTTCTCGTTCGAGTTCTTCATATGGTGACGCATAAACTGTTAGAGGAGGAAGACAATCTTCAAGCGCTACAGTTCTTGTTCGATAGTCTTAAGCCCGGGAAAGATATCTACAGGACAAACCCAGAGTTTCTACAACTCGTGTCAGATCAGATTGGTGGAAGAAAGGGCGAAAAGTATATTGCGAGCCAGGAAATGCTACAAGACATGCGAAAGCAATACACGGAGATACTTGCCCTCGTATCTAGTATGGTACATTTCTAACTACTATTCATAGTAAATATATACGTACCTTTTAATATTCCTTTTTGATGATTGATTTGGTTGCATGCTGCGAGTTGAATTAAAGAATGTAGACGACATGGAGAGGCATGCACACCTTCTTGGCAGTTTCTTATACTCTAGTGGTCATGTACGAGAAGCATATGAAGTATTGAGCAAAGTACAAAGCACCATTCTCTTCATGGTGGTGGCTTTGGAGGCCCATGAATTTGAAGTTCTCTGCTCTCTGAACGGAGTGGAAACTCTGCTTGGAACGTCTTGCTACCGCGAAATGACCTGGAAAGAGGATTGCATAAGGGCATTAGCTCACCTATGCATAGGTAACTACTACATTGCTGCTTGCAAGGTACGTGTCATCCCCTAAGAAAGTCTTTAATAACTCTATGTGTGTCCACTTATAGTAATATTATTATTTTGTAGTTTCAAGAACTGATGAATGCGAGACACATCCGTTGGTTGTGGACACGTTGGGCTTTTGAGTTGATAACCTTGGATGACATCTACTTCTATTGCACATTGACTGCCATGGCAACCATGAGCAGAAGTGAGATAGAGGTGATATTCTGGATTAAAAATAATCATCTCATATATAAATCACTGATATGTGGAATTGTAGAAAGTCTCTGTTGACATGAACAACATTACCTTCAAAGAAAGGAAAAAAATTCAAAGCGTGGAGAAGAAACGTGTCAATTACTCGTACCGATACTTATTGAGTCAATACATTGCAAGGTACTTGTATTATAAAACAACTATTCATTTGAATATTTAGTATTACTAACGTTTGGACTTTCTCTTTTCGTTGGCAGGAACTATTCAGAGTGTGTACGCTTTCTACATGAACAGTTCAAGTCCAAAGCTCGAAAAGATCTCTACCTTTTCGACCATGTGGATAGGCTCTTTCATCTCATTACACAGAAATGCATCATCGCAGAAGCAGAGAAGTTCAGTAGTGACTTCGACAAGCTTCTTGCTCTTATAGATTAGTACTCTGTTTTTTTGTGATTGGATCTTAGTTTTGTGTTTACTTTTGTGGCATCTTCTCTTGCTACCAAGTAACCTTTTGCTTCTTGTTATGGTTTGTACATGGGTTCTAGACTTTTTCAACGTTGAGAAGAATGGAACAAAATGAAATTTGCATTATAGGAGATTTACATATCAAATAACTAAACAATGTACATGAATGTTGTATAAATTACTCTTGTGCCATCTCTCTAAAATGCTGCAACAAAGCTCGAGCTCGAAAGCCTTCAGCTTTGCTATTAAATGACCCATCTCAAACAAGACGATCTGTTGTCTCCGCTTTACAAGTCGTTGGAACGTAGCCTGCATTGTTATTCAGTAAGCTGTGTGACCGGCCATAGAATAGATAGATCATGCTTCCAATAAGCAGCCATATCAAGACCCTGATCCATGTCCCAGCTCTGCCATTACAAATACCGACAACGTTGTTTTAGAAAGATCCAATTTCAGTTCATACATGTTCATGACTCACTCACCCAATGTTGATGATCAAGTAGGTGTTGATCAAAATGCAGAGAAC